GAGAGCTCAAGGTGGGAAGGGGCAGAGAGAGGAGAAACTCAAGCAGACCACACTGAGGGCAGTGCCCAATGTGGGGCTCAAACTCACGACCGTGAGATCAAGACCTGAGTTGGTCTCTCGGGGCGCCTGGTGTGGCTCAATTGGTTGAGCATCTGTCTGGTTCAGGTCATGATCACTGGATCCTGGGATGGAGCTCCGTATCAGGGCCCTGCCCAGCGGGGAGTCTGCTTCTCCCTCTCCCTCTGACACTTCCCCCTGCTCACGCTCTCACTTGCTCTTTGTCTCTCTCAAATGGATAAAAATAAAAAATCTTAAAAAAAAAAAAAGAGTTGGTCTCTCAACCGACTGAGCCACCCAGGCACCCCTGAGATCTGCTTTTAAAAGATTACACAGGGGTGACTTAGGTCCCTGGATGACCTAAGTTGCTTCTATTTTGCTGGTCCGGCATCACCTAGTGTGTTGCCCATGTTCGTGTGGTCAGCCTCACTCACATATCTCCCTTTTAATCAGCCAGGAAAAAGGTGGAAAATGTAGTCTCTAGCTGCCCAGCTAAACCTGAGGAGGAGATCTGGTCAGGAGATGGAGTTGTTCCCAATACTAGAAGGAAGAGTAATACCAGATGCTACCGCAGGGGAGTTGGGTTTCAGATTAGATTAATCAATTGAACAATTAATTTCTAAAGTAAGTTCTACACCCAACATGGGTCTTGAACTCACAACCCTGAGATCAGGAGTCACATGTTCTACCAACTGAAACAGCCAGGCGCCCTCAGATTAGATGAATTTTAAGTAACTTTATTACTTAGTGATATTTGCTGTAATATCACTAAAAGCCTATTAATTGTTTTTCACTTCAGGTTTTAGTAAATACATTAGGATGTATTTAAAATACTATTAGCATAGGGGCGCCTGGGTGGCTCAGTCGTTAAGCGTCTGCCTTCGGCTCGGGTCATGATCCCAGGGTCCTGGGATCGAGCCCCGCGTAGGGCTCCCTGCTCAGTGGGGAGCCTGCTTCTCCTTCTCCCACTCCCCTTGCTTGTGTTCCCTCTACCACTGTGTCTCTCTCTGTCAAATAAATAAAATCTTTAAAAATAAATAAATAAATAAAATAAAATACTATTAGCATAATGAGTTTAGGATTAAGTTTATTAAAATAATGAAAAACCCAAGGGAGGGCATGAGTCAGTCTAGATCCAAGTTGATTTAAAGCTCTGCCGCTTACTAGGGGTATGATCTTAGCCACTTTTAAGCTTCAGAATTAACCTGTAAAATGGGGTTGATAAGAGTCCTTACTGAATAGCATCACTGTGGAAGTTAAATAATTTATATAAAATGCAAGGGTTTGGTACATTGTAAGGATTCCATAGGGGCACCTGGCTGGCTCAGCTCAGTCAGTAGAGCGTGCGACTCTAGATCTCAGGGTCATAAGTTCAAGTCCCACATTGGGCAAGAAGCCTACTTAAAAAAAACACAACAGCCCCCCCCAAAAAACCAAAAAAATGTAAGGATTCCCCCCTAAATGTAGCCATCCTGATTTTATGTTGAACATAATCCACACAATTGGACATCTCCAAATATTAAATCTTACAGTCCTTTATAGTTAAAAATGTGTGATTTTTATTGGATATTAAAGTTTTAAAATATTATTTTGAATAGGAAAGAAAAATTAGACTACCAGGTGCAAAATAGAAGTATAAAATTTATTTAAAACCACCCACAAAGTTCTGTGTAATCAGGAATGATACAATTTGCAATAGTTTTTTTAAAAACTCATGACAAAGATTTAAAATATAATTTCAATTACAGTATTCATTTAGCCTTATTCAGTTAGAACACTTAAAAAAAAGAAACTTTGTGCTCTAAATAAATGAGACACACAAGGAAAATATAATAGACAATTTCCACAACTCTTTACATGTATGTTTCAATACTAGTACATTTCAATGCATTTTGCTACATAAACATGAAATCATGTACACCTGCTGTGCACCAAAATTTAGCTTAATTAGGTCTTTCAAGTAACATGCAATTCCAACTCACAAGACTTCAAGTACTGCTAGTAAGTGTTCCCTTGTATGCAGAGCACTACATGTTGATCCTGAATTGAAATTACCATAATTAAGATTATCTCTTTCCCTTCTGCATGGTGAAGTGCTTTTTCTTTAAACTGTTTTTCCCATATATTAAGAACCCAAACCAGATTTTGTGGAGTTTTAAAATCTTTTCCTTACTAACATTTCATTATATGGGATATTTAATACAGTAGGACTGCAATAGGTAAAAAATAATCCCCCAAAGCAAAAAATCAAAGGTACAAAATAAATAGTAAATATACCCTAAGGAGAGACAAAGTCACCTAGAGACAGGAATATTAACTTGTGAAATTGGTATTTCTCTATGGAAAGTCAGTACTACTCTATTTCCCCATGATGAAGAATCTGTGAATATTTTACTCCCACTATTGAAAAGCACTCAATCTTCTCCTTTGAGCCGAAGTATTGATATGCACGTGAATCTACTTGGTAGGTCACCATATAACACGAGAAAATGAAGAAACTAGAAATTAATGCTTTTCTTTCTGTCAAGTAGTTTTATGAGTTTCTCTTCAGGGAACACTTCATGATTTTTAGTAACTCAAAGATGACTATCCACCCATATGTCACAATGCAAAAGCTCCCCCCACCCCCATTTTTTTACTATAAAACCATTTCTGGAAAAATATTTCTCTTAAAGCACCTATCACAATGTTATCTGTTATAGAAGTTTAAAAAAAATGACCATACCTATTAATAAAAAATATTTAGTCTTTGTTTTGTTTTGTTTTCTAAGAACTATATTTGTAAAGTCCTACATTGTCAACCATTTTATAATATCACAAACGCATTAGTGAGGATAGGCAGTTACTGAACCAAATCACCAAAAGTGGAATTTATTTGACTATTTAGGGAAGTTTGGGTTTTTCTTTAGCAACCCATAATGTACCGATGGAATTGCCAAAATATCCCACCTCTTTATATTTATAAAGAGCTTTTACCAAAACTTTACAAATACATCTCATTCTTTTTCTTAACTCTCTGGGCAAAGGTATGTTTAAACAAAGTGGAACAAAAAACAAAACAAAACAAATTTAAATAAGTGGGAGACAGTACTATCTCTTAGAGATGCCAGCAATTTTACGTTTTTACCATGAACACCTGGGAACTAAAATAGTTCACCCAGCACATTCCCTTCTAGAAACCTTCATTTCAATATAACAAATACATTAAACTTTGATTTTGAGTTGCTGATCTCAGTCTTTTTAAAAATAATATTTAAGACAAATATCATTGAGGTTTCCCTTTGTTTTAGTAGTACAGGGACATTCTTTATTAAAAAGTTTATTTACAGGGAAAAACTAAAGCTTCATTAATCTAAATCCTAAAATGCAGAAGTCTTGGGAATTTGGGGAGACCTTCCAAAGTATGCATAAAAAAATCCCTGGCTAAATAAATAGTGGAAACAAAACACTTCAGAAGCATGTTTTGCATACAATAAGTAGGTTTTACATTATTCTTAGATTAGGTCTGACAAAATTTCTACTCAATAACACTCTTGAAATCATAGTTTATGGTGCAGAAATGCATTCTGCAGTCTGCAGTCTGCAGCTATGAAATGGTTTGGTCTCAGATGGGTTGACTTGCTCTAGTACTTGGAGCAAGGCATTTGCTCTTCTTGCCAATCTGCAGGTTCCCATCACCAGTAAGATGGGAACATTTGGACATTTGTCCAACCCTCAGTGTTGGGGAGAAAAAGGGAGCACACAGTAAAGCAGTTTGATATCCTAAAACATTATAAAGTACAGGGATTATAATTTTTCTTACTACCATATTTGCATTCACAATGGTTCCTCATTTTGAGCTGCTATTTTTCAGATAAAACTGTCATGGGGTGGGGAGGAGTTCTTAAAGTATGTTTTGGTGTTGATCTGGTGGAGTGAACCTGCAGATTGATGATAGGAACACAATTCTCCCTCCTTCCTGCCCCTGAACTCCCCCCTATTACACTCACAACTCCTGATAACTGATTTATCCCATCTTTAAGAATTCCTTAAATTACTTTCAGTTCTTTTTTTTTTTTTAACCTTTCTCATCCAGATTATAGAATAGTTCCTATTATTGCCAAAACCCAAATTCCAAAGGGGTAAATTTACATTGGAAAGTAAATACCATGCACAAAACTGGGCTGGGAGATAAAATATGTGAAAAGAAAATATTGTCTACTGTATAAATCAGACCTGTTATTAATTCAAAGCCACTGGTCAGACAACTTATAATATTAGTATGATGTGTCATACAGAAATAGCAAAGCTATACAGAAATAGTGCTAGAATATTTAACTTCTGATATAAGGTTTTGCAAAACACTCAAACACTAATAAACACGTTGAGAGTCAGACATTGTTGGGATTTAAAACGCAAAACAAAACAAAACAAACATTGTTGGGATTGTTAGAGAACTGGATGCTAACCTGGGGCCTTGTGACCACTATCTCTTCCTAAAAATTGAAATTGCCTCTAACAGAAAATGACCGAATAAAAGATTGTGATCCTTTTTGGTATTATTCCACAAAGGATTTGTGAAACATGATTTTAGAAAACAGGAAAAGGTAACTTGACCGAGATCACTGCTATTCTTAACACGAACCATGTGTATTTGTGTAGGGACCATGGGGAGTGGAGGGAGAACACAGAGGGGAAGCAATAGAGTTTCTTTTTTTAAAGAAAATCAGAGGAAAGGATCAAAACAGTAAAAAGAATGAAAAGTACATGTAGTGACATCATAGCTTCAGTAAAATGAAAAAAGAAAAATAATAACAAGCAAAAATTCTGGTCGAAGACGGTAAGTTTATACCTAGCCAAATGAAGAACAAACGAAATTACTTTTCAGTACTGTTTCTCCAAAAGTGAACATGTTTCTGACAGCTGCAAGATTTTTTCCTGATGAACAAGACAAGAGAGAAAGAATGCCTTTCATAACAGCTGCTAGGGACAAAATTTCTATTTTTAGGAAAACTAGGTTTATATTGTTAAACAAGTGTTTCCCAAGTTGCACTCAAACATCAATCAGTTAAATCAGGTAATATGTTTAACATCTGATAATAACATTCCTACCTTAGACTAAGTTTTGCTTTAATTATAGGGGACATGAAGAAACAAGAAAAACTTGTGACCGGGGCAGGATCATTGATACCACAGTAGGGATGGGAAAAGTACAGCCAACAATGCAGAGATTAGTGTTGGACTTCTAAAGCCAGAGAAGTTAAATATTGCATACTATCAATAGAGAAACACATTGTGGGGCCCTTAAAGGAGAAGTGAAGATTAGGAATGGCCAAGTAAGGAACACCTTTGCATTACTTGAAGGAATAAAATTTATGCCTTTCGAAGTAAACAATGGTATTTGATTGGGTGCCCAGAAGGAACAGGGATTGAAACAGTCATCCAGATATACTGGAATGCAGAGAATTCAAGTTTCTAGAGTTCAATGTGGACAAAAAGAGCGATGCCTTCTTGCATAAAGGCCAGTTTTACCATCTTCAAACTTAACAGAGTAACTTAGACTCTATTTTATAAATGAGAAAAGGAAAAAAAGCCAAGAAATCTCCATACATTCCAAGAAAATACACAAATTTAGCTTCTGACATCCTGATCCTTTGACTTGCATTCCAGAGCCATGAATGGCCTCGTTTTCCAAGTCTATTAGAAGAAAGCACAATGTGGAGCATAATTTGATTTGGGTAAATCCAGACTCTTCAGGAATCAGGGCACTCATTTATCACCTGGTGGAGTGTGCCTGACTGTTGATGTTGAAGTTACAAGTTCAATACACTTATGGGCAAGTTTCAGAGCTGTGCACAATAAAACAGTATTCTAATACATGTAGACAATCACATCAAAATGAACTATGCTAGGACTTAACTATGAGGCCAACTTGGCCAGAGGTGGGATAGACTGTACAACCATGCCTAGGTAGTATATACAATTGGTATCTTTCCCCCAATTCTTTCAACCACTCTATTTTTTCCAACTCCTTGTATATGCCTAATACTTGTATCAGGGGAAATAAAAGCCTGTACTATATAAGTACTTGATATTTCTTTATTGAAATAGCAAATGACTATTGCCACATTTTGTTGGAGGAGTTAACAGGACAGCTTCATAGGTCAAAGGTCAGCTAGATTTCCCACACAAGGCCCACGAAACTCTGCAGGCAGGGAAATCTTGATCCAATTTCACTTGACTTGTTTTCCTGAATCTCTCAGAAATAAACAAAACAAAACAAAAAACTCAACAGAAAAAAATAAAAAGCCATTTTAATTTTTACTCGTACCACAATAAGGTTATTTCCCAGTTATGAGATACTCTCTGGGTGAGCAAATCAAGTTTGTTTCCTCGAGTTCTCCTAAGCACAAAGTGGCCTTCATTTGATTGTTTCAACTCTAATTATAAACATAGGTACACACTGACATTAACATCTGCTCTCTGGGCCCCAGTGATTGAACTGTGTGACTTCTAAGGTATCTTCTAGCGCTGGGAGAGGCCACTACCATATTATTTCACAATTCTCGTCAGAAATTTTACAGAAGATCAAAACTCACAGTTGTATTAACTCTAGACAAAAAAGAAATTTCCATGCATCAAGAAGTTGTGAAATAGAAGGTAGCTATATATTATTAAAAAGTTATATGACAGCTACTGATTTACTCAGCACATTTGAAGGAAATTCTGTGCCCACTATTGGTGGAAGTTGTCATGCAATGTCAAAACGTAATCTCAATAGAATTTGTTTTAAAGAGTAAACTTAAGTAGTTTAGGATTACTTTCATACATGCTATTGTGGAATAAATGATAATCAGTTGAGTCCACTGAAGTAATATTAGAAAGTAGGTTACTTTGTATGAATTGTTATCTCATTTACACAAGGGTATGCATTCAATTAAGTATGTTTTGGGGTTCTGTCTTAAGTAAATTGCTATGGATCTCAGCTAGTTGAAATTCTATATTTAACAAATTAAATTATTTCATCCACATGCAGATTGCATAACAAAGATGTTGGAAGGTTAAGCTGCAAACATTTTGCTAATGTGTTGCAAAAATTTACCTACAGCTATACATTTTCAGCTAGCCTCACTTTCCAATAATTTATTTCAATTAGGTCTATCACATGATGTATTTGGTACTTTGTGGATGAATTGGAAAGATGTAGGTGAGGCTGAAAAACAGAAGAAAAATTTTTTTTCAACCATGGCCTGAGAGCTGTTAGAAACAGGATTTTGAAGGGCAGAGTATTTTGTAGGATTCTAAAATAGGCAGTTCATTGTATTCAGTAAGTTTGTAACATATTATGGACAGGTTGGGTTAACTTGGGGATCATGTATCAACTAATTCAATTATCATACCATGAACAAAGGCAGAATATTGAAAAAATCATTTTGAGTGGTGTAAGACAGGTAAAGCAAAAGGTGATTGTTACAGTAATACATAATAGAAGGTGTAGAAATAATGTTAGATGACCAGTTTTCTGAGTGAAGATGTCATTTCAAACAAATTTATTTCCTTGCTTCTCAAGAGCATTCTAAAAGCAGTGTCCCTAGCATACAGTCACAATGCTGGAGAACATTGAATAAGCATGAGCATTTAAAAAGGAAAAAATCACAGGGCAGACAATGGGATGGTAAACTGTTAATTGAAACTTAAGAAGTAGAGTCCAACAAAGTAGGAATCACATGTGGTTCCCACCATGGGGTTATCAGTTGAGACAGGGCATTAATGGTGTTAATTATAATAATGGAATGGAAACATTTTAGTTGAGCAGGGATATTTTTATGCACTGGCTTTGGGCAACTGCAGCCAACTTCACAAATCCCAGTATTCCCCTAAGTAACACCAGCGCTTCAAGATCAGTTGCTAAGAAACTTACTCAAAGTTAGTGACACTGATTTGAACTGCTGCAGATATATTACAACTGATTCTTTTGTTCTTTTTGTTTTTTTCAATTTTAAATAGATTCCGTGCCCAATGTGGGGCTCGAATCTCACGACCCTGAGATTAAGATTCGCGTGCTCTACCAACTGAGCCAGCCAGGCACCCCTACAATGGATTTTTTTGAAGGAAATTTGCTGTTTCTTTGAAAAACACGGATAAAAGCAACTTTAGAATTTCAATTCTTCACGTTTACTGTGTCATGGGTGGTAGTTGAAAGAAAAACAAAAGCTAATATTTAAATTCTGCAGACATTCAGTAAGTGTTGAATGGAAGGAAGATGGGTGGATGGATAAAGGGTCTTAAAACTTGATTCATTAAATCTGGTGAGGAGATAATTTCTAGTGGGAGCTAAGGCCTAATATCTAAAACGAAATATCACAAGGGTGTATTCCTGATAGTCTAATACTAGTAAATATCTTATCAAAGCAGCTGAAATAATAAACAATCACTTATTTATATACTTATAAGAAACCTTAGGCTCACAAAAATATACATGTTTTAAAACGGAAATCTAAGGCACACAAAATACTAAAACAAGTCAATGAATCACCCTATTTTACATATTCAAGAAGCAGAAATCTACTTGTACAAGATGATGGTCTACCAATGGATATTTGTTATATACAATCCCTTCATATTCCTTTACTTGGATTAGTCAAAAGCTTGAAACTGAGACTTTGCACCATATATTATTTTAATATAAGTTACAATGAGTTTTTCTTTAGAGCTTGCTGGAACTGTTTGCTTTTGCACCAAAATTGTTGAGTGTTAGCAGTTGTGGGCTTCCTATGGCATTTCCAAGGGAGAAGCACCATTATTTAGGTTTTCCACACTCCCAAGGTATCTGACACTTTGCATGTTATAGCACCTCTGCATTTTAATAGAATCAAGTATTTCACTGAAATTTCTTGCTCTAAATATTTTGTTTGGGCAATACCTTTTGTTTTGCTATAAAATGAGCCAATAAGTAATGGGAAAAAATATGGGAGGGTTAACATAAATGAAATGCCTATTTTCCCGTTACCTAGGACACAGGCAATTATCAGAGAAGATCAGTATTTATTTCCCTAAAACTAATATGCTTAGATAAACTACTCTGGATTAGCTCTTAATGGGCAATACCATACTTAGATTGCCACTCCTACTGTTTGGGATGTGTGGATGTGTGATGACAATAGGGGTTTTGTTTTCAAAAGATTTCTATGGGAATTTTATTCTAATTCTGTACCAGAATGACTTTCAGAACAAATAAGGCAATTTGGGATGGGTAGGGTTCTTGCTACTTAATTTTTATATTTAATCACCTTGAAACGTTAGAAGCATTTGACTCTTCTGAATCCTACAATGTCCCATCTCCTTTTGGAAAAATCTTTCATGATGACATTGAGAAAGCTGGGGTGAAAGTAAAATCGGAGCCACTGTTGCTTGATAAATCAGAAGAGACCACTCTTACTTCCAAATAAAATGTTAATTGACATTGGTGATATGCTTCCTAATTCTGATTTTAGAGAAAATTAACAATTTTTGCATGTTCTAACTATTTTATATAAGTAGCTAATATCTGCATGAGAAAGGACACATTTTTTTTTAAAAAACAAATCATATACATGATTAGAATACATATTGCAGTTAACAAGATGGAACTCTACACAGCAAGAATAAATGATTTCTCTTGTATGCAAATATGCACAAACAATAGACAATAAGATTCTTATACTATACTATTTCAAGTTACTTTTAAAAATAGAAAGTGCTTTTAAAATATATATTTACAGTTTATGAACAGCCTCCAACCATTATTAACAATAATGAATTATTTTATACAGGAGAGATATCTTGAGAGAGAAAACATTTCATTGGTTTATTTCAAAGGAATATGCCGATTTTCTAGCAATGATTGGAAGATGTTGGAACGATGGCACCACGAAATAATAATGCAGCTTATTTTTAACTGTTGATGTGGGTAAGCACCAGGAGCTGTGTAGAGTTAACACTGTGTCTTGATTTTACATCATAGCACATGAACCTGTTAAAATCCTCTAAAAATGACTCTTGTTTCATAGTAAACAGACTTAATTTAAAGCACCAAACTGAGTGATTCTATCAAGGTTAACACCTAACCAAAACATTTCTTTATGTATTTAAAACTATAAAACTTTTATTTTTGCTTAAAATGTGCACCTTCTACCAATTTTCAAATATAGTCACAGTTAAGAAATACCCACCCTATTTTTGTTTTGTTTTTTACCTCAGCCTTCAAATGGGTGAGATGAAGATAAGTAAACGACAACATGACTTTCTTTTAACAGCACCTTGAAAAAATACACTGCACTAGCGAAGGCATTAAGAAGGGGAGAAAAGCCTTCAGACCCAATGGTTATAGGGTCCTGCAACATGTGTGAGAGCATAAGGGGACACGGTGACAATATTGTCATGGGTTAATGTTAACGCTTTATGAGAAGGAATTTGGTTCAACTCATTAACTTCAGGGGACAGTTCAGGACCCTCATTAGCTGCCTGGTCTTTCTGCTCTGAGGCCTTAATTTTCTTATTCTTAGCTTCTTTAGCCTCAAACTTAATCTTGTTCAGTTCAAAACCATGTTGGGGCTTATTCAGGTTTTTGTGCTGGTAGAAAACAAGGGAGAGGCGTGTGGGATGATTCCGGTTGGGGTGTTCAACAGGAGTGGTTGCGTGAAGCTCTCGCCGGGCGCACTCGATCAAAACGGAGCCATGCGCAGGCGCAATTGCCACCCCACCAATGTTGGCATCCAAGAAGATGTGCTCGCTGTCTGACCAATACTCGTCGATGTGGAGCAGTTTCTCCTCAGCCGGGGACAGGGGCTCGTCTGAGAGGGGGTCATCAGATAGAGGCTCATCTGCATCAGAATGCTGCTCATCTTCTTCCACCAGAGAGGAAGCCAGGTCATGAGGAGAGGTGGTGAATGGGGGTTGCTGGTTTGGATGATTAGAAGGTAGCTGTTCAGACGGACCAATGGGAGGCTCAGAGTAAACCAGGGTATCTGTCATGGGAGTCGACAAGGTGGGAAGAGAAACCTCGTCGCCAGGCTGCGCAATTCCAGTGCATTCCCCTGCAGCTGCATTAGCACCACTGTGTCTCGCAGAAGGCACTGTGCAGAGGGGATTGCTGCTTCTTTCTGAAAACCCGTACGGAACTGACGCATCGTTCTTAAGAGGAGCTGTTGTGGCCGGCGCAGTCTTAGGGGACCAGGAGAAACCTGGAGACATGTTTGCCTCTTTCAGTGTGTGAGGAATGGATGGGGTCAGTGAGTAGGTTTTAGTGTTGTCCGAACCTTTGAAGATAAAATGGGGTTCAGTTTCACTTTTTATTTCAAGTTGCAAGGCTTCAGTTTTATTCCCTAAACAGAGAAAAGGACACCAAATGCGAAGATAAGTACAAACTACTTTTGGGAGTTGTCTTTAAGGGGTATTTTAAAGAGAAATACAAAGGATAATGTAACAAAACATTGGTGATGGCCATGTTGGCCAGTTTTCGTTCTATTGACTTTAAGTCAAACACACAAGCAGGCATTAAAAATTGCATGTTGTTTGGTATGCTTTTTCACCCAACAATTTTCCTTAAAGAATTCTTCCCTTTGCAAATAATATAAATAAGCACAAAGATTTAGCCAGAAGAATGTCCATTGTTTAAAATAGTAAGAGATTAGAAATGACCTAGTTGGCTATGAAGTAAATATTAAGATCATACATTGGAAGACAATGCAGGTGATAACATGATGATTTAGAGCAGTATTTCTACCCAAAGAGATGTTTAGATACATTTTAGGTATTGCCTGATCTCATTTTCAAAAAAGTAAAAATAATAGTTATCAAGAAAACATCATGACTGGCAAACTCAATTATTAGGCAAAGGGAAGTCACATAAGAACTTTTAGTTGAAATAAGTCATTTGTGACCCTCAAGACCAAGTGAATTTAAGCTTTGTTTGTTTTTTTTTTTTTAAAGATTTTATTTATTTATTTCACAGAGAGAGATACAGCGAGAGAGGGAACATAAGCAGGGGGAGTGTGAGAGGGAGAAGCAGGCTTCCCGCAGAGCAGGGAATACGATGCAGGGCTCGATCCCAGGACCCCGGGATCATGACCTGAGCCGAAGGCAGACGCTTAATGACTGAGCCACCCAGGTGCCCCTAAGCTTTGTTTCTTTCTCACTAAGTAGGCAGATCTTTATTATCATATTGGCTATTATGGGTAATCTATTCTGACATAACCACACAAACTTCATAGCAAATGGGAACATTTTTCTTGATGGAAATATTCTTCCTGTTTTGAAGTTCTATAACAATTTCTGGAAGTGCAAAAGCAGCAGATTTTAGGACAAGAAATAGAAGAAGTGGCCATGTTTTAAAATAATTAACACTATAAGAGCAAACACTGATCTAATTCAAAATAACTACATACACTGTACACCTGAAACTAATATAACACAATACAACCTGGAGACAGGGTAATTCTTTTTCTCTCTCTCCCTCTTTTTAAACATAGAAAGGTAAATAAAATTTATTTTTTTTAATTTTTAAAAAATATTTATTTATTATTGGACAGAGAGAGAGACACACACACACAGCGAGAGAGGGAACACAAGCAGGGGGAGTGGGAAAGGGAGAAGCAGGCTTCCCGTGGAGCAGGGAGCCCGGTGCGGGGCTCGATCCCAGGACCCTGGGATCATGACCTGAGCTGAAGGCAGACCCTTAACCAACTGAGCCACCCAGGCGCCCCATGTAAATAAAATTTAAAAAAAGTAAATAAAATAAAACATAGAACACTTCATGAATTTGTAGGTCATCCTTACGCAGGGGCCATGCTATTCTACTCTGTGTTGTTCCAATTTCAGTATATGTGCTGCCAAAGCCAGCACCATGATAACTCTCATTTTTATCTTGCTTTTCCTTTTCTTTTTTTAAAGTAATCTCTACACCCAATGAGGGGCTGAAACTTTCAACCCTGAGATGAAGAGTCTCATGCTCCATTGACTCTGCCAGCCAAGCGTCCCAGTTCTCTCTCTCCCTTTTTTTAGGGGGATGGAGAGAGGGGCAAAGGGAGAAACAATCTTAAGTAGGCTCCAGTCCCAGGGCAGAGCCGACGCAGGGCTCGATCTCACAATGCTGAGATCATGACCTGAGCCGAAATCAAGAGTCAGAAGCTTAACCGACTGCACCACCCAGGCACCCTGCCAGTTCTCATTTTTAAAGAGAACTTGTACATGGAACCCAAGGGGTGGCACATTAAGAAATCTGTGGTTGCATCTATTATAGAGGTTGTCAACAGAATATAAATCATGGGGCAGAAAGATTATAAAAGAGTAATGAGTCTTGGGGGGTTGGGGGTTGGGGAAGGAGAAAAAAAAAAGGAAGGAGCCTTTTACTGAAATGGGTAAATCTATATAAAAAAGTTCTTATGGGGGCGCCTGGGTGGCTGAGTTGGTTAAGCGTCTGTCGTCGGCTCAGGTTATGATCCCAGGGTCCTGGGATCAAGCCCCAAATCAGGTTCCCGGCTCAACAGGGAACTGCTTCTCCCTCTCCCTGCTGCTCGTGCTCTCTCTTGCTATCTTTCTCAAATAAATAAATAAATAAATAAAATCTTAAAAATAGAAAAGATAAAAAATAAAAACATTCTTATGGGTAAGATTACAAAAGGACAAGGGGTTATAAGCCAAATATTGTGGAGAGGGCAACTAACAGGATATATATTACTAAAATCATAGCTTGTGAAGATGCTATTAGGGAACGACACAAAGATGAAAATGATAGGAATACTGTTTACAGGCAGCATGGAACCAGACATGGGCATCTTAAAATAAATCTAAACTAAGTATTTGTAAAATGGAGCTAAGAAGCAAAAAGGAATGCTGATTCTCTCTGCCTTGCATCTTCACTATCAATTTACTGAATCTTTCCTAGCATTATATAAATGTCTGCACTGTCATTTCTCTCTCCTTACAAAAAACAAATAAGCCAACTCTCCTTGCAAATATAAAAAAATCAAAGTTACGGAATACCCTGTAATTCTAATGCTGAGTACCAGTATAAATTCAAGGTGTATTTTTTTCTTTGGATTCCCCGGAGAAATGGCTGAATTTATATATGGGGCAGGATTATATAAGATGAGCCTAGAACATCTTGTCGGAACAGAAGCTAAGGAAGCTATCAAAGACAATCGGGGTCATGACAAAAAAGTTCAGAAGCCAGCATGATGGGTTTCTACTGATCAAAGATGGGACAATTTGAGAATATTGGTTTCAATTTGAGGATTTTTTTTTTTTTAAGATTTTATTTACTTATTTGACAGAGACACAGCGAGATAGAGAACACAAGCAGGGGGAGTGGGAGAGGGAGAAGCAGGTTTCCCGCCGAGCAAGGAGCCCGATGTGGGGCTCGATCCCAGGACCCTGGGACCATGACCTGAGCCGAAGGCAGACGCTTAACGACTGAGCCACCCAGGTGCCCCTCAGTTTGAGGATTTTTAAAAGCATTTTCATATTTAACTGGGAAAACCCCCCGCCTATTTAATGTGCACTGAAATATAAACTATAAATAATAAATGAAATATAGGGGAACCTGGGTGGCTCAGTCATTAAGCGTTTGCCTTCGGCTCAGGTCATGATCCCAGGGTCCTGGGATCGAGCCCTGCATCAGGTTCCCTGCTCCGCAGGAAGCCTGCTTCTCCCTCTCCCACTCTCCCTGCTTGTGTTCCCTCTCTCGCTGTCTCTCTCTGTCAAATAAAATCTTTAAAAAAAATAATGAAATATAAATACAAAAACTATAAAAAACATGAGATCAAAATGCTACTAAATTAAAAAAAAATTGAACACACTGGAAAATGACTAGGAATTAAGTTGTATTCTGAAAACTGGTGAGTAAAGTCAAATTGCCAAGCATTTATTCTAATTTCTCTACATGAACCATAACTCATAGTTAGCAAGTTATTGGTAAGGACAATATTTCTTTTTAAAAGATCAACTAACAAATGGAAAAAGAATGGTAGACTTTGTTACTCCTAATGGAATAAAGAATATAGAACATGATAGTAAGCGTTTCTAAAATCATCACGTAAAAAGCTCATAGGGAACATTATAATCCGTGAATCACGCTGACAACACCTGTACCATGGATCAGCCTTAACATCATAAAAAGAGATACCATCAGATACTGTATTTCCTGATGTGAAGAAACAAGAATGTAGAAATCAGCCAGTGTCCTTGGCCATAGCAAGTGTTTTTTGTTTTTTGGTTTGTTGTTGTTGTTTTGGTGAGCCCTACATCCAATGTGGGACTTGAATTCGCCATCTTGCCCGAGATCAAGAGTCATATGCTCTACCTCCTGAGCCAGTCAGGTGCCCCCATAGTTAAGTGTTTTCAAAAATGAAGCTGAATTCGTCTCTACAAGATAATGGTTTCTGCTATATGTAAAAAAGAAAAAAGAAGGAATAATAGGAAAAGCAAGCTTTAAATGAAAAGTGGTAGAGGAGACATATCAACTAACTGTAACGTGTGACCTTGTTTGGATACCGATTTAAACATAGCAAATGTCAAAAAAGAAAAATCATTTAGGAGACAAATGGAGCAATTTGAGCACTGATTGGTATTAAGGCATTATCTGATTTATTTGTTTTGGGTATTGTGGTTCTAAACATTCCTTATCTTTTAGTGACACATACTGATGAAGTAATTGATAATATGATGTGACTTCTATAATTTATTATCAAAAAATTTGAAGGGGTGGGGCCTGGATAAGGATATAGATGAAATAAGAATTACTATGTATTAAAAATGTTTTAGGGGCAGCCTGGGTGGCTCAGTCAGTCAAGTGTCCACTCTTGGTTTCAGCTCAGGTCTAGATCTCAGGGTCGTGAGTTCATGCCCCATGTTGGGCTCCACACTGGGTGTGGAGGCTGCTTTTAAATAAATAAATTAATTAAATAAAATAAATTTTTAAAATTAAAAAATGTTTTAAATTGGGAGCATAAGAGGGAAGTGGGATTCATTAAATTATTCACTCACTTTGTACCTTTAAAATTTTTTCCATTTCAGAAAAAAACCTCTCAGCCCTGTAAACATCACTGCATTCAACTGATCCCCTTTATAGCCAACCACAAGAATTTCTCCATTTCTCTCCCATTTCCCTATCAATCTACTTCATTCATTCTCACTATTGAATCTGCTCAAGTAGGACCTCTGGTAGCCTACAAAACTCATGGTGAAATTTCAATTTTCATCTCACTTGACACAGAGCAACATTTGACATGGTTGATCCCTCCCCTCCTTGAAACACTACATACAGTGTTGGGGTTTCACTCCTACCTCACCAGACCTTCCAAGTCTCTCTTGCTGGTTCTTCATCTCTGAAGCCTGTACAGATTGGGAATTCCTAGGATTTGTCCTTCTAGCTCCTTTAGTGTCTCTGTGATTTCATTCACTCTCAGGCTTTTAAATACCATCTCTATGCAGCTGACTTCCTAAATCATACCTCGAGCCTACATCATTTATTAACAGTTGTCTGACAGGTGTCTGGAAATTGACATGTCCAAAAGTGAGCTTCTGATCTCCCTCTGTATCTTTCCAAATCTATTCTTCTCTCCCCTTTTCTCATAACCTTTGGTGATTTCCCCATCTTTCTAGTTTCTTCAGACCAACATCAGGATAAACACTCACACTTCTCTTTTTGTCCACATTCCAGATTTATGAGAAATCTTGTTGACTCTACTTTGAAAACATCCAGGACCAGACATTTCTCACGTCCTTCTCATTAGTCAATCTGGACCAAGCTCCATCACCTCTCTCCTGAGCTGTTAGGATGGCCTCTATACCACTGCCCTACTTTTCTGTTCTCTGCCTACTATTTTCTAGTTTCAATCCAGTAAGCAGAATGTTAGGTTTCAGTCAGGTTACAGTCCTTCTCTATTCTTTTTTAAGGATTTCATTTTTATGTAATCTCTACACCCAACGTGGGGCTTGAACTTAAAACCCAGAGATCAAGAGTCACATGCTCCACCAACTGAACCAGCCAGATGCCCCATCCCTTCTCGATTCTGAAATATCCACTAACCTTCCTCTCACTCAAAAAAGGCCAAAGTCTTTAGGGCAGTCAACAAAGCCTGGGATGAACAGCTCAGAGACCCCTCTTCCCTCTCCCATCTATCTCCTACTCTTCTCCCCATTTCATGCTCAGCTTTAGCCACACTGGTCTCCTTGCTTGCCTCAAGTATTCCAGGCAAATTCTTGCCTCCTGACGTTTACATTTGCCATTTACTCTGCCTGGAATGCTATTTCTCCAAATAAAAACACTCGTGATCCTCATTGCTTTGGGGCCTTGACTCAAATGCCTCATTCTCAGCAAATCGCTCTGACAACCATATTCAAATGGCTTTTTTGCACAGCCCTCCCTCTCCTCTTCCACCACGACATTTCTAGCACCCACAACCGCACAAAGGGGTGCCCTGTAATACCTGTTGACTGCCTTACTTAAATTGATGCTAAACTTGAGTGAGGAAGACTTCAAGGAAGCAATGTCATTTCACGTATGCCAAGAAGGAGGAGCTGGGCTTCGAAACAGATGGGGAACAAACAATAAAAACATGTTTAAAAAAACAAAACACCATAAATAGAAAAAAATACCACGAAATACGGATGGGCCACTCTCTTGTTGACTTTGAGTTTTGGCAATTATGGAGAAATTGTGTATGTGAATGGAGTCAGTGTCTTATTTTGAACTCTAAACCAACCTGTATTAAAAAGCAAAGGAGACTTAAGAACAATTATCTAACTGAATTGATATCTGATCAAAAGTTGGGTTTTTTTTTCTTTCTTTCTTTTTCCCCCAGAATGCCTCATTCCTAAGAGAGCAGCAAAGATAAAGGAGAGGGGAAATAAGGTGCAAAGGCAAGTCCCAACCCTTCGGCCAATGGAAGTTGTGCACAGAGAGTCAGCAGGGTCCACAGGCCTCACCTAAAAGCGGCAGCGAGGAAGCCTTGCTATTGTTTGTTGTCGAGTTATTCTTGCGCTTGATCCGAGGAATGAATTTCTTCTCCACCGCTCTTATCTTATGTGCGAGAACTTCTGTCATCATTGCGGCCCTCTTCTTCCCGGAACGAGGAACTGGCTGAGTAAAACGTGTTCTTTTTTTACGGCGGGGTGTGAGCACCTCAATGGCCCCAGATTGGATCTTGGCTTCCATTCCTTCGCTAGAGCCAAACTCATCTGTATCTGAGAGTTTGTAGAGCGGTAGCACATGCAGCTGCTCATCTTGAGGGATAACCCCCAAGGAGCGGTTATCTTCTCTTGTTAAAGTACAAACCTGACAGAAAGAAAACATGAAATAGGTCCTGCACATTCATCGTAGTTATTTCTACCTTCTAATTGTTGCCATTGTCAAAAGGATCTGTATTCCCATTCTGTTTTCCAATGGTTACTGCTGGTATAGTGATTTTGGATAAATAATACATATCAAGCCACTCAACATGCTTCAATTCTAGTAATTTATCAACGGTTTGTAAGCAGACCAGTGTAATTTTGAGTTGATCTTATAAGTCAATAACATTATACTTGTTTATGTATTTTATAGTATTTTTTAAAAGTAAACTCTATCCCCAGTGTGGGGCTCAAACTCAGGGCACAGAGATCAAGAGTCACATGCTGTTCCAACTAGCCAGCCAGGCACCCCAAAACTCCTATATTTTAAATAGTAAGCCTTTTGTTACATTCCATTTTACTTCATTGCCTAAGTTAGGGAATATCTACTGGATTGTCCACAGCATTCATATAAAACATTAAGAAGACATTATTTTAGCCTATGTATTTCCCTATTTCTCAAATAATGTCACATTCTTTGGGTAGAGGGGGATTAATTAGGAAGAATTTGCTAATTTGCTCTGTTTTCCTTTAGGATTTCTTCACTTCTGCTTATAAGTGGAATTTATCTATAGATATACAGATTTTTTTTTTTTCTGCCCCCCACACCCCCAGGGTGATTTTTTCTTCACTAAATGCACTGAACAGATATCAATGAAGTAAAAGAAGAAGCACAAGAGATTTCTCTCTAGCAGGACTTATATTCTAATAGTTTTATTTTTAAATTGATTTTTTATTATTTTTAAAAATTCTAATAGTTTTTAAAAATTAAACATTTCATTTTGATAAATTTTCTCTTTCTGCTTGATGTTACTTCTATTCTGGCTAGGAACATACCAATAAGTTACCTACCTTTCTTTTGCATGTGAAGTAAGACATCTGAAGAAAATTCTGTCTTGAATATAACCTATCTCAGTCCTTCTCCTGACTTTAAAAGTTATTTTTATTCATTGTAGAGAAATAAAACTACAGAACTACATACAGGAAATCCCTGACTTTGATACCTAATATTCATATTTTTCTTCATGGATTAGTATCTTAGTGGTAATTAATTTTCAAGGGTCATTAAAGAGCCACCAAAAATATATCCAATGGTTTCATTTTTTTTTTTAAAGATTTATTTATTTATTTGACAGAGAGAGATAGCGAGAGAAGGAACACAAGCAGGGGGAGAGGGAGAGGGAGAAGCAGGCTTCCTGCCGAACAGGGAGCCCATGTGGGGCTCGATCCCAGGACCCTGGGATCACGACCTGAGCCGAAGGCAGACGCTTAACGACTGAGCCACCCAGGCGCCCTGAATGGTTTCATTATTTTTATTAAAAACATCTCTCCTAGAGCTAAGGGCTCTTTCTAAGACAGTAGGCTGGAAAGAAAGAAAACTGCCTGATTATAAGCTCGATAGACTTGATGAATACAGATAGGAAAGTAAGATAAGCTTAAAGTTTTAAAAATCACAATATTTCCTCAATATTTATAGTCACATTTACCAGCAAGACTTGAAATACTGAGTTCTCTTGGGTGTTATTTGTCAGTAATTTTAAAGTAATCATGTTAAAAAGTAGACTCTTCCACCAATAAATGTTTACTTAATCAATTTATTTGTTCACAGGGAGATTAAGAAGGGGACAAGGAGTAGATATGAGAAGCATAATTAGAAGGACTGGGGCAGCAGACAGGGTGAAAAGAGAATTGGCAGCCGAATTTGGAGAACTCAGGGTTTCAGAGATGGGGAAATTTGGAGTTATGTCAAGTTCTGGGTATGAGCCTCATGGCTTGAACAAGAGCAGTGGAGAAGAGGCAGCACTGAATAATACACAGGAGAAGCACGAGAGAAGTGGAACCAAAATTTAGTTCGATTCTGAACCTAATTCAGCCTGATCACAGATAGTTTGTAATGAAGCAAATCAGGTAAAACATATTAGCCACGCAATGACAATGAACCACACTCCGGCCAAGATTCATCCAGACAGATTTATAATATCATTGATCTCAAAGGCTCCACTGATCAACAACAGTGGACAAGAAAGATTAAGAAAAAAGGAAAAAAAGGCTCCTTAATCTATCACTCACAGACTTATCGGCCAAACAAGAAAGGAAGGCTGCCTTTTGATGGATTAGATTGTGTACTTTCAGGAACCTGTAGCTATCTTTCTTACATGGGGCCAACCAAACAGACTGGTGTAGTGCAAAAATAGAGCGGAATGTTTTACCAGGTGAGAAGACAATTACTGGAAGCAAAACCCATTCCACTTACAAAAGGACCATTGCATGATTCTCTCCACGGTCTTTTACCTAATTTAAACATCTCTTGATTGACTTCACGCTATGCGCATGTAATTCTTTCCATGGCTGTAAATCTAAGTGTGCACACCTAAATGCAAATATTTCTGACAATTCTGGTATATTAACATAACTTTATACATATATACTGGCACAAAAAAGATGATACATTTGGCCTAGTTCCTTCACAAAAACCCTGAGATACACAGAAGGCAAAAAACAAAAACAAAAAACAGTAAGTTGCTTAACTTCCTACCTACCAGTTTGATGGCATAGAATTGTACTCCTACTTCCTAGCAAACGTACCACTATGATTCGAGACTTTGAACAAAATATTTAAGGCCAGTTCTGTAACTTTGTTCAAGTATATCAACAATAACTTAAATACCATTTATATTATAAACTATGTGGGACAGAACATAAAATAGGGTTTTTAACAATCATCATATTTCAGGACCTCAGCCTAAGTACACAGCAATGGACCGTTTAGAATCAAAAGCCACCCAGGTACATACCACAGTGCTTCCATTATTCATGTTGTGAATGTCCCTGTGAGGATGGGCACAGAAGTCTAGGCAAGCAGTGACCCCAGAGAATGGACGACCTTCTTTGCTGCCAAGCCGACATTCTCGGGCAACATGTTCATATTCTACCTAAAAAGAGAAATGTATGGCACAAAGTTTTAAGAGCCAGAAAGAATCTCCTTTAGTAAAGAGTAAAAATCACTTGCTGACAAAGTTCTTAAACTAATTATACATTGTAAGTCAGAGATTTCTGACTATAGTGTGGTAAAGTAGTGGATGGGTAGTTCAGTAACATTCAGGAGGAAGAGTCTAGGAGGACAGCAAGGAAAGTGACAATGACTGGCTGTGACTGATGGTAGGCTGACGACAATACCTGTTGGAGGTGAATATTGAGCAGACCAAGCCTAAATTATCCCTGGAGAAAGAGAGACTACTACAGTGCATGAAGTACATGTGAAGTTTTCAATGTCTATAAAAAGTAGGTAAACATATATACATATGTTCATGAGCCAATATAGAATTTAGGACTCTTTTTAAAACCAAAGCTTAGCAAAAATGAAGGGGGGAAATCGGAGGGGGAGACGAACCATGAGAGACTATGGACTCTGAAAAACAAACTGAGGGTTCTAGAGGGGAGGGGCGTGGGAGGATGGGTTAGCCTGGTGATGGGTATTAAAGAGGGCACGTTCTGCATGGAGCACTGGGTGTTATACGCAAACAATGAATCATGGAACACTACATCAAAAACTGATGATGTCATGTATGGTGACTAACATAATATAATACAATGAGAAAAAACAACAACAACAACAAAAAACCCAAAGGTTAGCAATTAACAGAGAGCATGCTATTCATGATAATACAAACGAAGATTGAAGAAATCTAGATCTCTGGTTATGTTTAAAATAAAAAGATCATTATACACTTATTTTCTACCTTGTGATGACTGCAGACATATACAGCCTTGCAAAATGACTGCCACACTTAGGTTAGTTAACACCTCAATCCCTTCACATAGTGAGGATTATTTTGTGTGTGTCGTGGTAACACTTAAGGTCTCTTAAAAATTTTTAAGTCTATGATAGAGTACTGTTAATTATATTCCCCATGCTGTGCAACAGATGCCCAAATGTAATTTATCTTATGGCTGGGAGCCTCTGCCCCCTGACCTTCATCTCCTCATTTCCCACACCCCTCATATATTTTCTTGATGATGTCCTTTGAAGCACAAAATTGCAAAATTTTGACAATCTGTTTTTCCTTATTTTTATTTTTGGATTGTCTATTGCTAGTATGTAGAAAAACAATGACTTTGCATATTGATCTTGTATCCTGAAACCTTGCTAAACTCACTGATTAGCTCAAATAGTGAGTGTGTATGTATGTGTATCCCTCAATAGTTTCCACACATAGGAGCATACCGTTGGCTAGTAGAGATCATTTTATCTCCTTTTTTACTCTGAATTTCTTCAACTTGCTCTTAATAGAACCTCTAGCAAAATGTTTACTAGAAATGGAGAGTAGATATTGTCTTGTTCCTGACAGTAAGCAAAAAATGTTTTAGTCTTTATCGTAACTATGATATTATCTGTGGGTTTTTGTAGATGTCCTTTATCAGGCTGAAGCAATTCCCTTCTATTGCTATTTTGTTAACTGTTTTTATCATGAAAGTGGTGGATTTTTGTCAAATGTCTTCCATCTATGGGGAGATCATGTGTTTTTTGTCATTTGTTCTATTAATGTAGTTAGTATACTACATTGATTAATTTTCTTGTGTTGAATCAATCATGCATTCCTGTTTCATAAATTAAAATTTCTAGAATTAATTACAATTCTGTCACTCTGGAGTTTTAATTCACTTGTCATAATAGGAAGTGATAACTTTTTAATTTTTTTAAGAAAATATTTTTAAAGTAGTATCTACACCCAACATGGGCCTCAAACTCATGACCCCGAGATCAAGAGTCGCATGCTCTACTGACTGAGCCAGCCAGGCACATCCAGGCTGGAAAATTTTTTAAGCTGTTCTGTAAAAATAGATACACACTCAAGTTCAAATCTGAAGGTTTTCTATTAATAATGATGTTGCTTATATCGAAATTTCAACCATGTTTAAGAGCACTGTATATGGTCCCCAAACGTACCTGGTTTTGGTAAGCAACTGGAGCATACTGCTTATAAATGGGAGCTAATCGTGTAGCCAAACTCTGTAAATTATCTTCAAGGTTTTTTTCCTACAGGAAAAGACAGTCCATAAAAGTTGCTTCATAATGACATGAATTTTAGGTATGAAAACGAATCATAAATCATTGCTGATATGTGGTTGATGCACAACTCATACTTACCCTAATAAAAGAACTACCATAGAAAATCACATGGGTTGATTCTTAAAAAATCTGAACTACTGGTCATTATTATGCTTTAATTTAGTCTTTGAAATTCAAGTTCTATGTTATAAGCTAATTAGAAGTCTAAATGGTGTTAGAGGTAAAGTGCTCATGTTGATAAATAGAAGAACCCTATTTTATATTTATTCAGTAGTACTGGGCACTTGAAATAAATCAAGACAGGGTTCCTAGTGGCAAGAGGAAATGTTGAGGTAAAGAACTCTGACACAGCGCAACAAGTTTCTATAACAGAAGTGGGAGAACAACAAACATAAGGTGTATACTACATATCAGGTTCTATGCTAACAGCTTCAATAATAGGTAAGTGGGCAACTGGTTGTCTAAAGCTAGTGTTTTCTTTTTCACATTATAACGGCCAAAAATTGTGGAAGATGTGGTGGGACACCATAAAAAGAGTCTAGATTGCTACTGATGGTAGAAACATTATAAGACCTTTTTTTCAAGGAGAACAGTCATGACAAATGTCTCTATGCAAAATATCACTGAAGTTTCAGGTCAGGTTGTGATCTCAAGGTTGTGAGTTTGAGCCCCGAGTTGAGTGGAGATCTCAGAGCTAAGACAGCTTGAGACTATCCTCCACCCTGCTGACGCTCTCTGTCTCCTTCTCTAAAATAAATAAATAAAATCTTAAAAAAAAATCACTGAAGACAGTACAACGTATGCAGCAGATAAGGTAGACTTTGGAAACAATAGCTGAAAGACAACTGTAGTAATTTTTGAGAGAGGATTGTATCCTAAATCAAATCAAAGAATTGATAAATGATCAGTCACATCCAAGGAAGACTATCAAAGGGGAACTGAGAGTAAGGATGAAGGAGAGATTTAAGAAGGCTCCATGCTTCTGCTTCATTTGAGATCTGGTGGATGCCAAGAACACAGAAAGAAGACCTTCATGTGGATTAGTTTACTTCTGATATTCATCAGATTATTAATAAAACCAAAGCCACACACAATGTAGACATAGGAAGTTAATTCTTGAGTGCATTTAACAAACCCCAATTTGGGCAACTATAAAGCATCAGTGATCACTCTTTTAGTTTCCTAATGATTTAGGTTGATGCTTTCATTGAAAAAGAAATTTATGTATATCAGGTCTATATATAGATTACTGTGTTCCTTTCATCTGTCTTACTTATGTATCTGATACTTAATATAGTTTCATAGATATAGTCAGGAAAAGTCAGGACCCTACTTTAAAAACACCTCCTGGCTATACTCACCCATTAATTATTTCATTTATTTGGGGAAAACTTACAATTGTGATTTAAGTACCTACTGAAAAGATTCTGATTGTTTTCTAACACCTAAAATATTTAGGTAGAGTAGGCAATTGTGTTTCACTGCTAGGAGATTACGAATCATCTGGTATCAGAAGTCAGACTGAGTAACTGGTCATCATGAAATATCTCATTTACAGTGTAGAGATGTTGAAATAAAGTAGGCACATAGAAAAAAAATCCAATAAAGCTTTATAGCTGACCACTGGTATCACTTTACAAATTTAAGTCTCATTATACATAATGTAAAAATTTTGATTTTCTAATTGTTTCATTAGAACAAATGTGTGTGTCAGATATAGAGGTTTCTTCTTATCAGATCTTTAACTGTTGGGGCTCAAGCCTACATTCCTCTGCTCTTCTCATCCTACACCTGATCCCTAGGACTGTCATATATCCACATCTGTGGCTATAATTACTACCTGGACCACAAATCACACTTGAGTTTCAAATTCTTCTCCATTTTCTTATTTTAAGACTTATTTGAGAGAGAGAGAGAGAGAGAGAGAGAAAGTGAATGGGGGAAGAGGCAGAGGGAGAGAATCTTCCAGCAGACTCCCTACTCAGTGTGGAGTCCCACATGGGGTTCGATCTCGAGACCTATGAGATCACGACTTGAGCCAAAACTAGGAGTCTGACACTCTACCTACTAAGCCACCCAGGTGCCCCCAGATTCTTATTATTGACCTGACATTCCCACTTGGATTTTATAGAAATCTCTCACCTAGTGGCTCCAAAATGAATCCATAATCTACCTTTTTGAAACTGGGTTCTATGTCCACGTACCTATATCAAGCAATAGCACTACCATCTAATAACTAAAACCTTTCCAGACTAACCACTGCCCACCATTTCCTCTGTCACAACCATATTCCAAGTTACAATGATCCCTTCTCTGGACTATTCTTAGGCTAGCTCATCTTGCTAAACACACTCTTTACCAACTCTAATCCATATTCAAAGAGCAACTATAGAGATCTTTTTCAAAGAAAAGTGTGATTGTATCACTTTCATTAAATCCTTTAATGATCTTCCAAAATGGCTGACATCGCATACAAGGCCACTGCATTCACCTTACTCTCCCTTGCCTGCTCTGAGCTTCATCCTGGCCTTCTGTCAGTTTCTGTAATGAGAAATGCTTCTTTCTGTATTATAAGCACCATACAGATGTTATTCAATATTTAAAATGATCATAAAAACTGATCTCATACTCATTAATTACATAATATTCTGTTGTAGAATAAAAATTTAACAGTCATGTAAGTATTACTAATATATTTACATACTGGTAGTTTTATCATATAGTATTTGGAAAGAAAACTGATTAATTTTAAGGGAGAAGGACATCACATTATCATGTGTTCTTATGGATGAACATAGCACCTTTCCACAATCAGGTGTTTTATATGTCCTTTACTAAATTTTTAAAGTTTTCTCCCTAAAGGTTTAACCCACTTCCTTTTTAAAAAATGTAAGCTCTATGCCCAACATGGGGCTTGAACTCGACCCCGGATCAGGAATCACACAATCTACTGACTGAGACAGTCAGGCGCCCCTAACAGACTTATTAGATTTCTTCTAAGGTCCTTGATCTGCAAATGATAGTTCTCTCTGGAATCATTTCCTTGTTTAATTGCAGTAGATGGCAAATCAAGAAAATGCTAAATAATTCTGATTATCTCTGTAAAAGGATGATTATTAATTTTGAGTTTCTTGAAAGATGTTATATTCATTGTATTATAGATATAGTTGGATTCATTCCTGTTTTATTTTCTGTTTCCTATTTATCTTGTATTCTAATGATCTTTAAAAATCCTTTGATTGTTTTCTTTTTAAAGATTTTTTCCCCACAACAATTTCAAAATGTAAAAATTCTATTTCTATTCATCTAAAAAATCTTAAAAATAATCTTGCTCAAATATATGTTTTTCTGACAACATCTAGAGCAGTGTTTTCCAAGCTGTGGGTCATGACTCATTCGTGGGCCAAGAAATCAGTTTAGTAGGTAATAACTAACATTTGAAAAAAGAAAAATGAGAATTTATAAAAAATATTATAGTGAATCATAGTGATCCTCAGCAATAACTAGATTGGATATTAACTTTTTAATATTTTAATATCTTCTCTTACATAGAAGATGAAGTATTATTTTCTGATGTTTTATTTTAATTATTTACTTGCATATACCATTGGATAGCAGTTTGTAATATAAAATGTTTTTTATTTGTGGTCACAGCTCAAAGTTTGAAAAACACTGATCTTAGTATCTAAATTCTCCCCACTCCAAACAAAGCATAAAACATTACCACACTTAGTTCCTATAGGTGCCCCCCTCCCCCAGTGCCTACCCACCCTTGAGTTGATAAGAGTATGGAATTATACTTATCAGTTGTTATTTTAATTAAAAAAATGTAAGTACTCAACTTATTTAAACTTAACAGTAAGGTTGACTAATTTCTTTGCTCACCATGGCCTCGTGTCCCGGACAGATTGGTTCCGGTTTCATATATCTTCTTTCTGGATTACGTCCTTTAGTAATTCTTTCATAGTAGTTCTGTGGGTAGTAAACTTTCTGAGTCTTTGAAATGTTGGCAAATGGCTTTATTTATTCTTCCTACTTTGGCTGGGTATAAAATTCTAGGTTCTTTTAACAATGATTGTCTCTGGGGTTAGGGAAGAGGAGGAGGGAACCAGGGACAGTTGGAATTTGGGTTGGTAGTTAAAGACTTTACCTAATTTATAGAGAATTTTAAACTATTTACTTATATATATTCTTAACTTTTTTTCACTACTTTTAAAATATTTCATTGTTTTACTATTTAGAAAATATTTTAAGGAATGTATTTATAAATCCATTGTGTAATTGAAAAGTAAAAAGGGACACTTACATGTAAGGGAGAGCTTGGATCAATTCTAAATCTTCTAGGGCTTGGGCTTCTACCAAATTTACATCCATTGAAATACATACTCCATGAACAGCCAAAAGAGAATGAAGCTCCACAAGTCTCTGGATCAATTCCTTGACATGTACAGGTACGACTGTAAGATGATAATTGCAAGGGAATGAACTGATAAAGCAAGGCCAATACCTCAGACAGAACATTTCAGATTCCTGTAACTTTAGAAGTATAGATGACTAGTGAACTGATTTTAACATATCTATTTCATTAATTATTTTATCTTAAGTAATGTTAACCCAAAGCTAACGGCCCTTGAATATAAGCAAGTTTTTTAACTAAAATGTTTGTTCAAGATTGTAAATCCAAATAAACAGCAATAAATTATACACAAATACCCATAAACTTGTTTGATTTGGATATGCCTGGGAGAAAATAAACAGTCTGCATTTTACTTTATTTTATTGAGAGAGACTCTTAAATACACTCCACGCTCAGCACAGAGCCCGACCCAGGGCTCAACCTCAAGACCCTGAGAGATTATGATCTGAGCCGAAACAGAGTTGGCCGCTTAACTGAATGAGCCACCCAGGTGCCCCAAAGAGTCTGCATTTTATTTATTTTTTATTTTTTACTTTTTTTAAGATTTTATTTATTTATTTGAGAGAGAGAGAATGAGAGAGAGCACATGAGAAGGGGGAGGGTCAGAGGGAGAAGCAGGCTCCCCGCCGAGCAGGGAGCCCGATGTGGGACTTGATCCCGGGACTCCAGGATCATGACCTGAGCCGAAGGCAGTCGCTTAACCAACTGAGCCACCCAGGTG